GACAGATAAAGATAATTTCTCAATATTGCTTGAGGGCGTTGAGGGGACGGCAGCATCTGTTGTCCATGTAAAAATCGAGCAGCCGCCGAGGGGAAAGTTCGGGAACACGTACCCCTGAGGGGAAAGCGGGCGGGGGGGGGGGAGAGGTGCCGTCCTCACATGGACTCAAACTCGTCAATGCGCTGCTTCGTGTTGCCCTGTCGGATCTGGCGCAGCGTTTTGTATTTGTCTCGGCCGGCTTTCACATTCTCGGCGTGCAGCACGTCGTTCTGTGTCTTCTTGGTTTCGTCTCTGGCCTCGGCCAACTCTGAACTTAATGTCTGAGTGATGGGAGAGAAGATAACAAATAATAGAGGTTGAGAGGAAGGAAAAGAGAAGACAGAAAAAAAAGGAAAACTAAATTAGGAGATCGCCTTTGCCTGACTGATATTTCTTCTTTGCAAACTGCTTCAACAGAAATTTTCAGATTTCTCTGAACGTTTCCCTTGTCGCTCACCTGCAGCTGCTGCTTCACCCTCTCGTTCTTCTGGGCTTCGGTGACGCGCGCCTCTTCGCTGCGGAGGTCGAACTGGCTGACGCCCTCGTTGGACAGCTCAGCGCTGGCCTCTGCGTGGTTCTCGTCCTGCTCGTCGTGCTCGCTCTCGGCATTGCCACCTGGAGGTGCCGGCACAATTGTCATTGCCGTCTTTAGCTCCTCCTTGGTCTTCTCCAAGTCATCCTGGGCTGAGAGAGCCTGCAGGAGGGAGAGTGCAAGAGGAATACATAGTTTAATAAATAGTAACTCTGAGGAGGCGGAGTTGAAGTTGTCATGGTTGATAATTTTCCATTAATTGCTCAGATGCTTCATTTATCAATTGACTCCATTAGTTCAGAAACATTGATCGGTTATGTTTTAAAATACACTGACGCGATAACAAGACTCAGCCATAGTATGCAGCTGTGGTTAAAAGGTTCATCACAATTGAACAACAAGGCCAAAGTTTGCTTCTGCAGGATTGAGGAGAGGAACGCTGTACCTTGTGCTGCCATTCTGTGGCCTCATCTTCTTTCTTCCTCTTGGCATCTTCCAGGAGAGCGATCTTGGCTGTGAATTCTGCCAGTTCAGCAGCCTGGGATGAAACATACGTCAAACAGTCAGTGTTTGCTTGCTCTGTCTATTAAAGAGGCTTGTGTGCACAAAAACCTACTAATGCATGCAATGTTCACCGCCTGAAATTGCTCAGAGCATCAGTCAAACAAACACACACCAGTTGCTCCTGGTTCTTCAGCTGGTCTGCGGCCTGTTTCGCCAGCTCCCCCTTCGCCTCCTCGGCCATTGTCCTCTCTCTCTCCAGCCTCTCCGCCTCCTCCCTCGCTCTCTTTCTCTCCTGCTCCAGCTCTAAGGCCCTGCGAGTCTGCTCCTCGAGCTCTGTGGGAACAAACACAAAAAACGTTCAAACAAAGAGGCAGGGCTTTAACCACATTTTCAGTTCAACAGACACAACTGATCTGGACTTGCGACCCAAGAGAGATGCTCTGAATTGAGAGACAGAGGGAGGAAAGGGGGGGGCAATATAGATAGGTGAACAGATCGATGAATAGCAAGAAAAACAAATACCTTTCTGAGCTCTCATCGTCTGCTGTTCAATCTGTCTTAGACGCTCCATGAGCTCATCTTTCTCACGCTCTATCCTTTCCTTTTCTTTCTCCGCATGCTCTCGCTTCTTTTTCTCATTCTCCAGCTGGGCCCTGAAAAAACAACCCCAACACATTTATGAATTGATAGTAAAAACACAGAAAACACCATACTCGGAGTAAACAGTTGCTACATCACTGAAAATCACGGTCTGATAGGCTTTGCTCTGTTACTTACATTATTTAAGAAGGAATATTTGTGGATGGTGTGTGTGTGTGTTCAGTACCTCTCCATTTGTTTGTGGTGCTTCTCCTCCCGGGCCTGAGCCTTCATCTGTTGCACCTCGATGGTGTCGGGCTTTCTCCTCCTCATGTACAACTCGTGGTTTCCCATACACAACGCCAAGATTCGTTTGTTGATGCGCAGTCGTGGGGCATAAAACACAAAGTCCTACAAGGGTAAGAGAAGAGAGCAGCAGAAGATATATACTTAACTGTAAAACAGAAATTCTCTGAGGACAGTCTTCATGATTTTGACACTCACAGGCGCTTTCTTGTCAATAGGTTTGATGACGAACTTCTTGTCATTGAAAGAGATGTTTCGAATCTCGCTCCAGGGGAAGCCGATCTTTGGTGTCAACCTAAAAAAAAACAAACATGCTTTATAAAAATTGGCCAGCAGATGGCGCCCAGCATGAACAAACTGCCTAACATGAAATTAACAGACTGTTTTTTTTATTTTGCATTTTAAGTAAAGTTGAATGACAGGAAACAGAAGCTGGATGAAACTCAAAATATCCAGGTATCCTGCCAAAGTTCTCTGATCAAAAAGGAACAGATCTGATGACAGAATGGAAACAAAAACTATTTCTTTGTCTTTCTGTTGTTACCTGGATGAGGGAAAAGGGATGGCAGCTGTGATGACTCCAGATAACAGACAGGAAGGCAAAGGCAGAGAGACAGTGAGAGGAAACGCTACCAGAGCTGTGATTAAATCTATCCTTTTCCTCTGACGAGGAAAGACTCTTTCGGTTCCTTTCTACACCTCAGCCTCATTTTTCACTTATAAAAATATCGTCCTCTGGACTTTTGTGAGTCCTCGCCCAATGTTTATGTTAATATCAAACAAAGAACTGAGCTTAGTAATTAACTTGTATAACAGCCAGTGTAACGGACATCATTATGACGACATGTGTGACACGTCTACCTGCCGTTCTGATCGTAGCATGTTGTATGAGCTGCATCGAGTCAGTTACTCGACAGAAGAATTCAAATGTCAGGACAATTTAAAAAAACTAGGGAAGGCAACGAGATTCTAGAGCTTTTGCTTTTTTCTTACTTGTCTTCATGTTCATAGATGTTGAGGCCTAGAGCATCCACACCCAACCACAGCTGTGTGCCCTTCTTGTTTTTAATCTCAAAGTAGTTGACACCGTACATCTCCAGGTCCTGGGCGATTTTAAGATACTCCATCATCGAGTCCTCTCTAACGAAGAGGAGACGCAGAAGGTCATGAGTTGAACAAACACAGAGCAGGTGAGTTGTGCTTTTAGGAATATTATCATAGCTGTGAAAGAGAAATTCATCTGATTTGATTTACATTTTTTTAAATAACTGGACATTTTAACACAAACCTGAGCATTCCTCTGTGTTCTTCATGCCAAGTCTGTATCCTGTCCTCCCACTGCTCCTTGGTCAGCTTGTGTTGCTCCAGGACTCTGCACACACACACACACACACGGCCACAATGAAATGACTTTCGCCTGAAGGAATGTCGATCAGCACAGAATTGTTTCCTCTGGAGGAAATCATACAAGATCTGACCAGGGAACGAGACGCATTCCAGGGTTTGTGTTATCTAGTGTAGGTGGAAACTGAGCGGACGCCTCCCGCAGTAGGTGGCAGTTTGGTCAATTATGTTCAGAGCGGTTTGTTAGATGTTTGTACCTCTGAGGCAGCAGTCTGTCATGGGTAAGGTAGCCAGGCTTGTGGACATCTTTGTTGTAGTCTCCATACTTGGCCTGGACAGAGTATGATGCCAGTAACACCGCCGTCTCAGGGGGACAATAGTTCTCATCATTCAGGATGGCCTCCTTCACCTGGCAGAACAGGAGGAAGTAAAAAAGTTCATAGGAGTTTTCAAAATTTTAATATGATCATCTCATTGCGCCTGCTTCCTCTGCAGTATTTTTTTTAATTTGGCACATGACTGGAGGATTAGCCCCATCACTTGTTTACCTTCACGAAACAGTAGTAGCATCTTAATTAGCCCTTTTTTTGAGTCCACATTTTATGGAAAATTGTCTACATCTAGATAAAAACTTGATCAGAGAGTGGTTTGTTACCTGAAGAAAGAAGAGCCTCTGGGTGATCTCCTGGATGAGCTCCTCCGACACATCCTCAGGGAAGAATTTGGCTCTGAACTTAAACTGCAGGGGGTTCTCCTTCTTCACATCCTGCTGGGTAACCTAAAAAAACAGTGACATTATTCATCCATCGCTCAGTCACATGATCATAATCTTTGTATCACAGCTACATCTTATTGTCCAGGTAGAATGAACACGTCAGCTTGTAAATGTATGAGCCCAATTTGTGACTTCAGACTATCACACTTTTGCAGTATAGGTCCCAAACTCTAGAATTGCTTATCTGATTAGACTTCCTACACCTCTGGCTGCATTTAAATCCCAGATTCCAGTACAAAAAAATATGTGAGGTACTCTCAGTTTCACGTCTTGGTCTAAATTCTTTAACAACCTCATTTAGGGTTGCTTTAAATATGTTTAGCTTTTGTGTTTATGTTTAAGAAATGCATCTGCCTCACAAACGTAGCATTGTTTGAGCTAAAATTCACCACAGAAGTACATTAAGTAACTTACATTATAAAGCATATTCATCACAAGACACTCCTGTAATGTGCATCGTCTGACATGTGTTAGTGGTACGTACACACACAGACAGACAGAGACTCAGAAAACTGTTTGAGGGGAATTTTCTGTCACGCATACTCAGAAAAACACAGACACACTGTAATAGCTGGGGTTTAGGCCAGAGGGTATGTTGGCCTGAATGAGAGAGGAGGCTTGTTGAAAGAGAACATCAGAGGCTCCAAACCACAGCACAACTTCCAGACAAATCCCAAACAAACAACAGACACTGACAGCGGATAACAGACAAACAGATCAAGACTGAATGCTGGCAAAGAATTAAAAGGAGAAGGAGGCAGAGAGATGGAAGAAAGAACAGCTACAAACTGTATTTTTTTTTGATGATGGTGAAGTAAGTAAAGTGACACTCACCTTCTTATTGAGTTTGAGCCAGGTGCTGTAGCCTTTACTGTCCACATACTGTAGGCCAAAGAACCAGACCTCCCGCAGACCAACTGTCTTCACCACCTGAGATCCAAATAAAATGAAAAACAATACTACAGCTTGTTATAGGATCATTTTAAAGTCAGCTGTTCACAGTGTAGACGATGGTGACATGCCACAGAGGTGGGGTTCTCTCAATAGGGTGGAGCCATATAACAATATATTTATCTTATCAATACAGTTCACCTTATCACTTATTACTGCTGTTAAGGTTTCTAAAGCTGGCTGACAATGACATGCCCATTGGGATGTCAGGTAAACTGTGCACTGCTTGTTTGAGTAATAACACTTAATGGATGTAGGATGAGGGTAAAGTGAGACGTGGAGGAAATATGTCTGAGATGGACAAAAAAAGGTGCTTCTGATGAGTTGTAAGAGGCAATCGAGAGTCAAACAATGTGTTAACTGAGGCAGCTGAAACAGGTTATGAGTGAAAATGTGCAGAACAAAAGGGAAAAGGGTTAAAAATTCAGGGCATACAAGATGAAACTTAGTCAGTTGTGTCACTCATGCATACCTGGTCAAAGAGCTGTTTTCCTGTGGTATTGGGTTGGATGGCAAACTCCAGCTCTGCATCCATGGTGGTAACACGGACGTTGATCTAGAAAACAAACACAGCAAGAAGTTAAACTTGTTGCTAAATGACAAATACAAAGATTTTATTTTCAAATATTAGATACAAGTAAAAGTTTCAAATGTTGTCACAAATTGATGCTTCCCTGTCATAAATTTAAAAGTTTATTCTCAAACAAAAACCACTGAACAAAGACACCCTATAATTGCAAATGAGAAACAGTGAGTGCTCTCGGTGGTTGATTCTAAGATCGTCTGCTATGGGATGAAATGTTTTTCGGTCGAGCAACAATCTGCCAGGAAATTACAGAATTCCTACAGAGATTAATGACATCTTGTTGTGTAATTTCTCAATTTGTGTCAACCATAACCCAAATTTAGTGAGGACACTGTAAACTCTCGTCTCCCTTTCATTTTCCATCCTACACTGCCAGGGAGAGCAAACCCCACCTCTCAAGGCAGCCTACAACTGCAGGGCCTCTGCTGGGGCGGAGCGGGAGATAAAAACTCAGTCATTGGCTGTGCCCCGTTAAGCAGCACTGGCGGCGCGCCTAGCAGCGGCTCATGGCACGGAGCAGAGCTAGGCCGACCTCTGAAGCTTCTCACATCCTTCCTCCCACAACTACATCCACAAAGAGGCTGTATGTTGCCAACTCGAGAAGAGACGTAGGGAAACATGCATGGTACAGATGAAGGCGAGAAATTGAGAGGCAGAGAGCAAAAGAATAAAGTTAAGCACAGCTCCCACCACAATGTATCCACCTCTGTCTAACTCATTAATTGGCCATGAAAAGTTGCAGCACTTTCTCCACACTATAGACATCTTTCATTAACTTTCCTTGTATCCAACTCATAATCTAACCTTCTTTAGGCAGAGCTTTAATTTGGATGGAAAATGTGGACAGCTTAAATGAGTAAATTATTGTATTATGCCTTCCGTCAAGATCAGTTTTTTTGTTGCTGCAAATTTACATCTAATCCAAGTTCTGAGATCTGTTTGTGAATATCCAGCAACAAATCTACACCCCGAAAAATGCCACATCAGCAAAATGTCCATGGTTCACTGAAAGATGGATTAGGATTTTGTGTTTGTTTCAAAAGAAGCTGCCTCACTGACTTCCTGCGACAGGAGCAGTTCTGGAGAGTGTAGCGTTGAACTGGGGTTTCTAAGTGACCAGCCTTGAATGTCTCTTGCCCTGTGTATGTGTGGGGCCCGCCTGCCATCAGCTGTGAAAGAGCTGGCCCTTTGTGCTGCAGGCGAGTACGTGTCTCTGCAAAAACACAGCCAACCCACAGAGCGCAAAGATCCTGTATGGACCAGACGGTTAGTTAATCCTCTCTCCTGCAGAGAGACGGGGAGGAGAAGAGCAACAACAACATGCCGGGACACTAACAGCTAATCACACACATGGACAACTGAGAAGTCTCAAAGGCAAGCAACTTTTGCAAGCCTGTCCTTATGCAACACTTGTCCCTCAGATGACACACTGAGTGCCAACAAGACAGTTCCTAACAGGATCTCTTTTGAAATCATTGGGTTAATCCAGCAGACACATTTCACAAGTTTGTTTTTTGCTTAAGCAGGTCCTGTATTTTACCCACAAACTCAGGTGTGTTTAATGCTGCCCCGTCATAGAAGGGAGTTTGAGTCTTGATGTCGACTGACGTGTCTCAACAGTTCCTCAAAACAAGAAGTGAACCATGAAATGAATCTGAAACCGAGTGTCCACTTAATCAAATGCAAAATCAGTGGCTGGATCATTTAAATTGCCTGTATTTCGGTTCTTAGTGTCATTTTGCCACGTTTGTAAATCCCCCTCTCCATTTCAGTTGTGAAGAGGAGTTCTCACTCAGACAGGCCCCTTGTTAAATGTGCAGCTGTTAAGTTACTGTAAGCTGTTTAGAGGAGCTTTGCGGAGCGAGGCCTTAAGAGAGAGACACACACACACACACACACACACACACACACACACACACACACACACACACACACACACACACACACACACACACACACACACNACACACACACACACACACACACACACACACACACACACACACACACACACACACACACACACACACACTTCAATCAGTAGAGCTGCTAATCTGTCCTGCTGGGCTCTGAGCAGCTGTCTGTCTCTCCGATTAACCCCCCTGCAGGGTGAGGCAGGCCTCTGAAGGGGGGGGCTACAAACACAAACTCATCTTTTAAGAAACTAGACAGTTTGAAGGCTCCCTGTGAGAAGGGAACAAGAAACCCTACGTATCCATGCTCACTGTTGTATAAACAGGATTTGAAACATTTCCAGAGATTTTACAAGATGCATTCGAGGGGCAATAATAAGGGGAAAAGGGAGGGTCTTGCATTCTCTTCTTGATTATGGACCTAGCTTTTGTATTGTAAATGGGGTGAAGGGTCAAACACAAGAAACAATAGTTTAATGTTGCTCAGCACCAACACTGCAGCTCCTCCATTCCCCTTAACGTCGATATTTTCATACCTCCTAAGACGCTGGGTATCGCCACAGCACCACAACAAATCCCTACTTTCCTTTCTTCTCTTTATCAACATCCCATTCTTTGCTGATCCCTATGCTCATCTTCCCAGACTCCTCCTTTCCCTGCCAGGCCTTTGGTCGTCTGGTGATAATCCTGTGTCTTCACCTTGTTTCTGTGCTTGCACACAGGCAGGATGTTGACACAGACTGGGCCCCGATACACACTGTGGGCCTCCTCTCCTGCAAACAGGAAAACAGCCGCAGGCTAGGAAACCCGTGTGGGCCCTCATCCTGTGGGGTGCTGTCACCTCATAATTCTGCAGCCCACGGAGTGCACCAAACAAAGGGGTGTGGGGATGTGATATCAACAGACAGAGAAACACCATGTTATTCCATGTAACTGCAAATACATTTAAGTTGCATAAACCAACGGGCGTATACAAAGACTCTTTAAGCCAGCAAGGTCACAGTCAGCAGTGTGTAACAGAAATAAAACACCCTCCAGAGCACTGGTTCAATTGGTTTTAAGTGGCTGGTCTCACTATGAAAGGCTCCACAGAAAACTCCACACACATGTGCCTACATCTTGAAAACACTCCACACTATAGTGTGAGAAAGTCGGGGTAACTTTCTTTACAAGTTTCTGTAGAACTAAGCTGCTGAATGAAATGATTATCTATGGAAGAGTTACACTGCTATGCTGCATCTTATGAGCATCAGTCTAATTATCTTATTCTCACTTATACAACATTGTTATGAAAAAATGCTGCATGGTTTAAGTTATCAATGTGCATTTCTGATGTTTTAAGCCAATAACTTGAATGATAATGTAAAGAGTGGTTAATTAAAGCCATAAAATGAATATGATTATTCTTTTTTATATACTGGGCTTCTGCAACAGGTTGAATTAAAGATCATAGTGAATTAAATTTAAAAAACACTACACTGCAGGTAGAAAGTTATGATCATGCAATATTTACAAAATTGCTACAATACTGTTCATTATGAGATTCTCAACGGTTTCTGAACGGACTGAATTTAATTAACATACAAATCTAAATACTACAAATAGTTTCAACCCAACAAACACTTTTGTTACGACTGTTTTTTGTGCCAAATCAGAGCCTACACTGAGACATAAGAAGACCGTTCCAAACGTTTTTGAGGGTTGGCACTTATCCCAACAGCTGATCGGCCCCACTGTCCTTCCTCTGTTTATTATGTCAGTGCCTCCCTGCAACAAGCTGTACTTTCTCTGTCAGTTATTGTCTGTGACAGACATGTTCCAATCAGCAGAGAGGCCAGCACTCCGCCGTACAAGCTGCCTTTTTGGGAAGGTCCCCTGATGACTGTAGAGACAAAAGAGGGAAGTGGAGGACATCTTTGGCTGTCCCCCACACCGACAGAAGATGTGCTCCATTTGTGGAGAAGCCTGAAGCCTGTTGTTCCCAGTTCCTTGCATTCGCAACTTGACCTTGAGCTGGTTAAGTAAGAATGCCAAATGCTAAGAGGAGCTGTATCATATTTAGTTTGTTCAGAGTAGCACATGGGCTGGACAACTCCACTCTTTGACAATCCCTTCCTTTAAAGAGAAAACTAACCGTGAAACAAACAATATCCCCAGACCCATGTGTGACATGTTCCCATGATGAAAAAAGCAGCATGACAACAGTGGGAATCAGACAACCATGAAGCGACTGCATAAAATCGCTCTTGTATTGGCGTTGTTCACATCCCAGGACTCTCTCTGGCATTCTCTCCACCCTTTAAGCAACAATGGCAGCAGTGTTGGAGTTGCACGGCCTGTGGGCCAGGCAGTACACTTCACACTCTGGCTGTTGTTTACTTGGAAGAGGAGTATTAGGAGTGGGAGCAGCCATGGGCATGACACTGCCACTTCACCAAGCGCTCAAATGTAGCCTTGGGGCAGCAGTGCACGCCTACCGTTACGGCAAGAGAGCAGTTCTGAGGAGTCAGATTGTACAAGCAGACTAAGCAGGAACAAACAAGCAACTTTCATGTTTCTGATTCATATCAGATATCCTGAGCAACATAATTGAAAGACTTTTTCCATCAAACAATCTGTATCAATTAGCATTGAAAGTGTCTAACTCAAATGTTTTTCCCTGACTTCTTGCTCTGAGCAATGCATGTGCATGTCTGTATCCCTTTAAAAACACAGTACAATAAAAGTGCTTGACATTTGTACACCAACTCTCATCTAGCTTTCAGTTTCTTACCGGTTTCGGCATCTTTGTTTCCTCGCCTCCTTACACCAGTCGACTGAGAGGAAGAATCCGTCACTGGACGACAACAGCACTTGTATCTCAGGGCCTGAAAGAGAAACAGACATGTTTTTTTCCAATATTATCTGCTAGCATTTCCTTCTTAACTAAATAACCTGATTTCACCTCCAACATTATTCCTTTCTGAAGGTTTTTTATGAAAGATCCATTAGTTAAATCCTGGCAATATAATGCATGGAGTTGAAAATAACAATATAGTTTCAGGAGAGATGATATAAGAAGAAAAGAGGAAGTCAAGTAAACTGAAAAGCAAAGATTAAATGAATCCTGTTCCTAATTCTTATGAAAGAAAAAGCTGAAAGACAATCAGTGTATTATGCAATGACTCCTTGGATACTGTATCTATACAGTTTATAGTTACATCGTGTCAAAATAAAAGATCAGTTTGACACAAACTACAGCACATTTGAATGATAAGTTTTTATCGACTTCACACCGTATCTCATCCTTAATTTGACCCATTACTTTTATCAGACAGTCCGATAATCTGTTTTGTAATTTCCAGCCGCAACGACTGTTGTAGAGAAGCGATGTGGGCAAACCAAGGCACGGCCAAATGGGTGGCGGCCAGAAAACTAAACGACTGAATGAAATTAGATTGCTCTTATTGATAACATTGCTTTTGTGTTGGGTTTTCTTCAACATAACTGTCACAATACTGCATTTATCTGACCTGAAACACAGGCCTGACACAGTTCAGGGGGGATGACCTGTGTTGAACAGTAAAATGAGCTTGAAATGATTCAGGCAAAGAGCGGTATGGTCAAAGATTATATCAAGATAAACATTTCATGTCAAGAAATTTAAGTTTAAAGACTTATGGGCAAAACTATGGTAAATCAATGCTATCAATGAATATCGTATTGCAAAAATTATTATTGTTTCATTGACCGGCCCTGGTCCAAACATCCTTTTCTTACGACTGTCACTGTTCCATTTTCATCCAATACTAATTTAAAGCTTCAATTTTAATACACATTACCTGAGTTTTAGGCAACACTGAGGTATTTGACTTGTACTATCCAGTCTTGTCATACTGATGAGTACATTAACGGGAAGTTTGTTATCCAATAAAATAATCCATCATTAGTCCCACAATGGGGGAATATGCAGTTTTACAGCAGCAATCAGTGAGTAATAACTAACATTCAATACGTGTAAGGAATATGACAAATAAAGATTTAATTAAACTATTATATACAGTGTAAAAACAGGAAACCTATGCAGTGTGAGATTATGTACAGTGAAATGATTGCACATGAACTGATTGAATGATTATTGCACAGGCAGATGAAAATTTGAAATTAGGACCCAGGCAATCCAATGTTGTTGTTTGGTTTGCAGGGCACCTACATATGAAGTCCCCGATCTAAATCAGAAGAGGACTGCGGTCCATCTCAGTGGCTGCAGGTGAGTCAGTGAACATCATCACCACCACAGAGTGAAAGTAAGTGAAAAGACTTTAGAACAGAGTCACACAGTGGCTTTAAAGAAAGGAGGAATGATGGTGAACCAGGAGGAGTGGTGCCGAGTCCTCCTCATGCAGACACTTGTAGCTTCGCCTACTTACCCGCCGAGAGTTTGCTTCCAACTATTTGAATGGAATGGAAATACGTGTAAAAAAAACAAAAAACCGCGTAACCACGACGGGAATAATTCAAATAAACGTGTGGGACATGATTTTCTCCACCTGAGCTTGCTGCTAATCGACTATTCTCCCCTGAAGTGACGAGTGGCCCATCGAGAGGCTGATTTGAAGATAGTGGGTGTAGTCTATGTAACGGGACGAGCTAGCTGCTGCTGCCTGGCTACGACGTGTGAAGTTTGAACGCGCGTTTTCACCCGTTGGCTCGTTCAACACATGTTTACACTAAATAAGAAAAAGATGCACACGATAGACGTGTCCCGAAACTCCAGCGTGTGTCCCGTGTCGAGGGGAAGAAGAAGAAGAAGAAGAAGGGGGTCGAACACGAGGATATCCGCTATGGCATCAAAGTTGAGACGCTGGTTTTTTTTTAGGGAGAGGCAACTCACCGGGGGGAGACGAGTGTGTCTTAAAATGGATGTGGAAGCCCGCTGTCCTCAGACGAGACGAAATGTCCACGATGAAAACAACCCGCGGACGTTCGCGTGTGCTCGTGTTTCCGTGTTTTTGGCCGAGAGCGAATCGTTCGAGTCCCGGACAACCATAAGGCGATTTGGGGTGCCACTGTGAAGCCAGCAGAAATGAGACGACGCAACTTCCGGTGTTGGCTTTATGAGTAAAAGCCTCCCGGAAGCACTTCGAAATCGTGGTGTTCTTTGACTCCACAAATATCACAACAATAATATCAAATAGTACAACAATATTAAAATATATACATCCCCACTACACTGCTAAAGCATTCTCTTAAAACGTTTATATTAAGTAACAGCATATTCTTTTAATTCTTTTTTTTAATACCATCCAACAAAAAGCTTAAATTTAAGTTATAAGGATATTGTTGGGTTATTATTTTTTTTTAATTTAAAGGAAAATGGCTCATTTCCGGTCATCTCTCCTTTTTCTCCAGTCAACTTGACACAGCCAATGGTGGAGATGTCCAATATAAATCAATCAAAACTTTATTTATACAGCACCGTTCAAACAAGCGACGCACACACAGGAACACACGTGCATTTATTTTCAGTCAATCTAAAATGTCCCACTCCGCAGCGTCGTCTTTAAATCCTTAATTCAACAGAATCGTTCTGCGATAAATAGTTTGCTGTTATTCTTTTTCTTGTACTAACTCATTTGACAACTAGATGTCGCCATTCCTCTCCTGTTGGTTTCCCAGAGGCGCCTCGAAGCTCTCCTCGTTATTGGACCTAAATTGACGCAAACTGCCCATCAGCTCATACAGAACAACTTCCGGCTCGGTCACATGTGCACTATTGCAACAATAATGTGAATTAGGTAATGAATTGAAGTCTGACCTCCAACAGGATGAGGAAGAAGAGGAGGAAGCAGCAGCAGTACTTATCCAGGTCTATTTTGTTGCGCGGAGGTGGACGCTGCTTGGTTTTTGGAAACGTTCAGGTAAGGAGTCACATGAGCTTGTGATCGTTTAGTCACTTTCAGTTTTTACGAAATAAAAGTGAACCATCAACTTTCGACTGAGTCAAATTTGTATTTCTGTAATTTCCTAACACGACGCATGGAGGCAGCGCTGCTCTGTCTGTCATAGAACCGAGGAGGCGCTAGCACGACGAACTTCATTTATAATTTTTGCTGTTTTAAAATTACATATCGACAAACTAAGACTACACGCCTTTCATTGAATTAATAACCAGAGGTTTTAATTGATACAATGTGACTGTCAATTCGGCGTACCAATTTTTAAATGCAATATAGCTATTTTTTAATTAGACATGTTTCTTGTGCTGATGCCTGCTACTTGGAATAATTGCTCTTATGCATATTTCGTTTTTTGATCCTATCATTAATATTCATATAAGTTGGGATGAGTTATGAAGGAGTGCCTGGTCTTCTTTATTTCATCAGGAGACTTTCTATTTGTTTTTTCAGAGTTTGTGGCCCTTCCTCAGAAAACACCTGTAGAAAATCTGTGTTCACTCTTCAATGTTGCAGTGCACCGGACATCCCCCTGGGAACTTGTCACATTGTGTTGCATGTGGAACTTGCCTTGGTCTTTATTTAGCCTGGCATATCTCCACGTCACAAGATCTCTGTCCATATGACCAAGGGCACGTTGCAGCTATTGTCAAAGTGGTGAAAGGAGCCACTGTGTTGTGGGGACTGGAAGCTGGATGGGTGGAATTGGACAAATGTACTTTTAAGTCATCAGGTGTGTGTGTGAGTGTGTGTAAGATCAGGGTGCATATTGATGCTCATACTCCTCATGAGCCAGAAAACACTGACCTGACATCAGCTCCTTGCACAAACGTAAATTTACCTGCAACAGATTTGGTTCAAATAAACTATTTGCACATGTTGATGCCATTGATCTACAGGGGTCATGCAATATTTTCTATTGTTCTAGTATTGGACCTAAGTTGACCATGCACGTCCCAATGTTACTGCTGCACAGCTCAATTTAATGGAAAGATAAATATAGCGACAGCAACGTTGTTAACGCCAGTGAGGACAGAAGTGTGTGTGTGGTACACAAAGGCATCATGTGTTATGCAATTGCAGAAGTACTTTCAGTACTGTCCTGTGTGTATATGTGTGTGTGTGTCTTACTTCCTCCCCTCCCTCTCTGTGCGCTGCTGACCAAATTAAATGGACACAGTTTCAGCCTCTGTCTGTTCTTTCACCTGAGTCCACTGCTCAGTGTTGCTCATGGTCAGAGATTCACTCTAATCCCTGGCTGTTTCTGGTAATGTTTAGGGTCTGTGGTGGTTTCAGAGAGCTGTGAAGTTCATGTCAAAGAGGAGCGTCTGCTGAGATCTGTGTCCTGGAGCGAGGATGGGAGGGCAGCTGTCGGTGCCAGAAGACCCGGAGCGATCGCTGGATGTGCTGTCGACAATCAGTGGTAGGGATCTGTGCTTTTGCCACCTCACATTGTCGCTGTGCATTTTGTCAGTGCTGATTTATGTGTATATTTCATGCCTAAAAGAAATGCATTCACTCTTAGCCTCATTTTGCATCTTCTGTCACTTTGCAAACCTTAATTAGCTCCTGAGAATATCATTTCAATTCTCCTAATATGTGATAAATCTCCTCTTATTCCCTTTCTCAAATATGGATTTTATTTCACCTCTGTATATTTTCCGGTTGTTGGCAACATAACAGAAATCTGAATAAATCCGGCTGAATGTAGGTGTACAGATGATTTTACAAGATGAAATTCTTTTATTATTTAGATTTTGCCAAAAAGAGCTTGTTTGAGCAGATAGTATATTTTATTGTCCCAGTTGCATGTGGTTGATGCTAACATGTCTTAGCAGCAGGTGTTTGAGTCAGTCCACTGGGGCTTGTTTCTGCTCACCCGCAGATTGCAAGTGTCCCTCTCAAGGAGTTGCAAATTTAATTTGAATCAGTTGAATGTGTCAAATTCAATGCAAGAGAAAATTGCACATCACAGCTTGCATGTTGCAAATGAGTTCTAATGGGGCCACGATTTTGAAAATGGGATTTTATTCCAGCTGTCTTTCAAGGAGTTCCAGCAATAATGGAGTAATTTGACCCAGTGAGACAATCTGCAGCAATGATCATATATAATTTACTGTCATCATCTCCCTGTGTGCAGTTATTTACAGGGGCAATGTGCACACATGATAGCAGATAGGAGTAAAATTTGAGTTTAGTGTACATCATGCAGCCATAATTTGCACAGAGTAGCTTCTGCTCAGGAGACATCCAGTCACCAGAATGTCAGCTATGTAGACTCGAAGCAAAGTAACAATATTTTACCTGTTACCTTCTGGACTAAGCTACTATTTGTTGTACAGCAAGTCTTAAAGATAACCCTTCACATTTACTTATCTAAATACCAGGGTTTGTGGTGAATATACACATTTATTATCAGTGTTGCGTCACAGGTTCCACTGCATCTTCATTCAGTTCAACCCCTTTTTTTCCTTTACTGTTTCTTCAGGCATTGTTTTCTGAGAAGTAAATCAAACAATACCAGTTAATCATTGTATTAAAATATATAACAACAATTTGTGATTTACAGTCGAGCTCTTCTCAGAGAATGGTCTTTATCTGGAAAAGAATAGAGTAACTCTATTTGTTGTTAGTGTGACCGGTTTTGAAGCCACTAAAGAGAAGGAGGGCACCGGTTTTTGATCTGTTGGACTTAATCTAATAGTGAGGAGGTGCCACTTAATAAAAAGTGCATGACCAGCTTTTGCTTGCTGCTTGTGAAGTTTAAATTGGGAGGGTTGGTGCAAATGTGTGAAGTTTGGGTGAAAAAAGATGAGGGAGAAGGACAACTTTACGGGATGGCACCAGTGTAATTTAACTATTCTTCCTGGCGAAGGTAATGTTCAAAAGTGGTCCAAACCTCCCTGATGCCACAAGCTTCTTTTAAATGAGCTCCTATATTAGGCAAAAATGAATCTATCAAATAAACAATATACAAGCATTAGTCAGAGATAATGAGAAATTAGTAGCAGCAGTTATTCCTTTTTGCAATGTTCTAAGCTTAAGTGTGTTAAATTTGGCCAAAAATGACAGTAAATATCTTCAAACATCAACAACACATACTGGTGCAATCTTCTTACAATTATAGAAATTTTTAGTCACATGAAACTGACCTACATTTTTTAATTACATCATTTAATTTGTTATTTGTGCTCAGGATCAGACACAAACACACAAGTTAGTATAATTAGCTGAACAGGGGCTTGTGTCATAACCCGCCCTCCGCCCTCTCTTTCCTGTGATAAACACACATCAGACGTTAAATGAGATAAACCATCACACATTCACGAGAGGAAGCACAGCAGACGGGGAGGAGAGAGAGAGAGGGGCAGGGCGGCCCGAATAGGGTCCATGAACGTACAGACATGACGGCATGAAGCGCTCTCTGACGTGACCATGTCTGTTCAAGAGGGCCAAGTTGCTCTAAGTCGACTCCTCCACAATCTGTCTGCGTCTGTCAGCGCGTTGACCCGACTCTCCCCACACAGCAGCAGCGATAGAGCGATCTGGAGAAGAGGTCAGTGTAGTTTTGAGTGTGTGTGAGTACACTGAAGTGTGTCTGGTTCTCTAGTGTGTGCCACTTAAATGAGTGTGACAGGATGACAGGACAGGATTTTCCAATCACCACGGGGAGATTCCCCCTGCTGTGTTTCCCCCCCCTCACCATCAAACAGAATAGAAGACCCTCTCCCTTTAGTTTCCTGCTGATGCTTCAATAAAGTCTGGCTTCGTGTGGACGACTTTGAATTTGACAGACTACGTAGGGAAATTCAATGTGTGGATGTCTTTTGCTCGGTGATATTCATGCGTGATGGTTGAGATTAATTATTTAAAAGACATTTATGAGGTTATCGCTGAGGAGGTTCTGTTTTTGTCCATTTGTTTGTTGGTTAGCAGGATTACACAAAAACCGCTGGCAGGATTACCACAAAACTTAGTAGAAGGATGGGTCAGGGAAGAACCAAAACATTTAGCTGCAGATCCAGATCAGGGGACATTGCGAGATATGACGTTTTGCAACATTTTCCTTAATTTCTCAGAAAATAATGGCGAACTCCCCAGAAGAGTATAGTTATGAAGGGCTCATTCTAAGGTCATGAAAGTGCAAAAGTTTCTTGGATTAAAGTGATTATATATTTATAAATAGTATATAATAATAGTATTTATATATAATAGTATGTAAATTGTTGTTTTGTGGATGTTTTCTAACAACAAGTGTAGTTGTGTATTCATGATATGTGGCATCAGCACTCACTCTTTGTCGTTGGACCTTGGTAACTGATTACATGGAATAGCCCTTGTTAATGGCTAATTGGTAACTTGACTTATGTCTCAATGCAGCAGCAGCAGACACGTCTGTTCACCAGTGTCAGGCAGACAAGCACAAAAGTCAGACACACGCTGGTCGACTGTGTGTCATGTCCGCCTGTATTTGCTGTGGCCGCCAAGCCACAAAAAGGAAACAGAACCACAAACACACGCAAACTAACAGAGGAGGTGAGTGTTCAATTCTGATTCCACACTTAAGGGACCTGTTGAGCTGTGCGGAGGAACATGCACACGCTGGTGTGTCAGGGGGTCATTGCAGGTTAAGTCAAGTTTAGAGGGTTCAGAAAGAGGCGGCATTGATTTTTGTAAATTCTGTGACGCGGCACAGACTAATCAATTCTTATGCAGGTGAACAAGTTTCTCTCGCAGACTCTTTTCAGGCTCTTGTGTATGTATCTTGAAACGCATATGATTCATTAACACAGAGTAGAAGTTGCATCAGATTTTTATAGTTGTAGCTGAAGCAATAAAGCCTCCCATATCTGATCAAATGTACATGGGCTGTTGAAAGGATTCTCAATCTGCAGACATCATGGCATCATTTTTCATAAAAGCCGTCACCTGCTTAAGTCTATGCATACCAGACGTAGTGTTGTATGGTATTATTGGAACATTTGGGAGGTGGTTGCATGCACACGTGCATGAGTGTGGCAGATTTCCACAGCAGGCGGGAGGGGCTGAAGAAAGAGGTGTGGTATAATCACTCAAGAAACTTTGATAGGTGTGTGTGTGTGCATATGCATGGGAGAGATAGACAGGGAGCGTTTGGAAACACAAATGAGGAGGAGAGCGGGATGAGACGGGTGAGACAGTTCTCTTTAGCGGAGGATATGAAAACGGCGAGGGAGGAAGAGGAGAGCATGCGGAGGGACGGGAGGAAGCCTGGAAGACGGGGATTTGGAGGAGAGAGGTTTATCAGCATCTCGCTGGAGGAGATGGAGAGCTACTACAGATACGCCCTGTGCTGTCAGCAGCTATATAGTGAGTTTTCAGAGGGATATGTGTGTGAGGTGTGTAAGTGTGTGGTTGAAATGCAGAATAGTCTTTTTATTTAATGCAAAATATACAAATATTTCAGCTTTTCGCTTGCCACACGATTACCACATGCATTGTTATATTCTAAAAGCCTCTGTTACATCAAATAATTTTGCAGATTGTTCCATCGCTCCTCCTGAAAAGCTGAGTCAGTTGGAATATCTATTCAAACTTGTGACTCGGCCCATTCGCTGACTAATTTTGTATTTTTTTAGAATTGTTTTTATGATGAGATGAACCTTTTGAAGAATAACTACTTGGCACAGCTGCAACATACAACATCAGATCAATGAGGAAAAAAGCATTATGTCATGTTTCTTCTCTACAGTCAGGTCTCAGGGAGAAAAAGTATAGATTCAAACTATAATCACAAGCTCTCGTCAAAGTTGAAATTATATAAATTGCCCTGATTAATGTGCTTGCAAAGTCAGTGAGATAACTTCAGTGTACAAAATCTCATTCTGGCTAAATTACATTGAACATTTAAATGCTAAATAGCTTTTTGGTGTTTGAGGTGTGCGGGGGGGGGGGGGGCAATCACTCATGCACATCTATTAATTTTGCTGCCATGGATGATATAAAGCTGCACAGAAAACACAATGACTTTATTTCCACCTGTGAGAAATCATCACAAGAAGCCAATACAGGAAAACAGTGATACGGTATACTGCTACATCCTTATTTACTCAAGGTGGCTCAATAAAAGGTGGAATAATTACCCAAGAGAGACTGTGTGTGTATCGGTGTGTGTGTGTGTGTGTGTGTGTCACAGACAGGAGGCGAGGTGTGTATCTCTGTTAACAAAAGGTTGCTGAGTGATTGTTGACCTTGGTGTCAATGTGCATGTGGGAACTGTGCAATGTTTGCACGATGATTTTTAATACCTGGTTCCTGTCAGTGATTCACGTCTATTCTGGTCTGTTTCCTGTCGGCTTTGGTCTGTTTTTAGAGACGATGTGTGTATTTTTAGTAAGAACTGCTCTCGATCTCGTTTTTCGCCTCACTTTTGTAATTTCGACT